CCCTGGAGGTGTTCAAGGCCAGGTTGGACAGAGCCTTGAGTAGCCTGATCTAGTTGAGAGGCGTCCCTGCCCGTGACAGGGAGGTTGGATTAGATGATCTCTGAGGTCCCTTCCAGCCTATGCCATTCTATGATTCTTTTGACCACTAGAAGCTTCCTAATTGGATACATAGTGCTCTACAGATAAATCCTGTTGATCTAAGATGTGTTGTATATATAATAATGAGAGAATTATGTATGTATAATTAATGAGAAGAGTTCAGGAAGCTCTCTCTTTGGGGTCCCTGTTACTCCTAAAAATAATTAAAAGTTTTTTATGGGTGTTAAGTGCTCAAAGCAAGAAATTAATTCTGAGGCTGGGTGGATTAAAGACAGATGTTGCATTTGTTGCATTTCTATAAAATAGATAACGGCTATAGTTTGTTTGCAAATTCCCAAAATTTGGGTTGTGAAGTTGAATGAATAATTGACCAAACCGAAGTGCAGATTGTGGCTTTTGAGTATCCATTTCCTTCAGGAGAAGGGCTGTGTTCAGCTTTTTCTGAGGTCTGGTTGAATTTCTTCTCTTGGTGTGTTCCATTCAGTATGTATTATGTCAACCTCAGCATTAAGATACGTAATACAGTTTTGCAGGTAATTGGAGTTAACATAACTTGCAATTGGGCGGACTCCAAAATTAATTTTTTTTTTTAATACAAGCACTAATGAGGTGTTACAAGCTTCATGCTAAAATACCTTATTAACATTTGTTTCTTTTATTCAGATGTCAGCAAAGGTACATTTGTATCCAGTCAGCCTTGGCGAAAGTGTCGTCCAAAAGTGTAAATGAAAAAGACATCGATAAATTCCAACTGTACCATGAGTTTTCTTGTAATATAAAGAACATTCAGCATCATCAGGTACACCTACAAATTTGTATTTTTTTCTTAGAATTTTAACTATAGCAAAGGTGGCTTTGCTTTTGAATTTTGTTGCTTAAAACTGATTCTAAAGGTACTTCATTTTGCTTTTCATTTATCAGAGGTAATAAAATACTTTAAAATTCTTGAAATGCAGAACTAAGCTATTAATCTCTGTCTAAAGACACTGAGCAGAGTACTGTTTATTCAATATGTCCATTGTCTAATTAATTCTTATTAAACAAATGTTTATAATGAGAGATTTCCATAGTGGTGTGACTTATTTTCAGCGTGTGTCATGCCCTGCCTGCCTTCCTCCATTGATGAGTGAATAGCAAGTGGTGTCAGGAGGGGGATAAAGGGATAGAGGCTAAGCAGTAATTCACGTTGTGTAGGAGTGAGACCCAGGGCATTGCATAGTAGAGAAAGGTGCTTGGTTGGAGTGTAAGTATCTGAAGCAAACTTATTCTTTCTCTCTTTTGGATGCTGGCTGCAGCACTGAGTCAGAGTCCTCTGAGCCATTTAACACTAAACCTGTCAGGTCAAACTGGTAGGAACTATCAGGGAAGGATCCAGAAAACTGAAATTAAGGTGACCTACAAAAGCAACTCTTGTCAGCAGCAACTTTGTGTAAAAGTTGAATGATCAAAATGGAAAGGCTTCTGGAGAATCCCATGCACTACCCCAAAAACGTTTGTTTTGCAAGTCATCAGTATTCCCTTCTGTGAAGCATCTTTGGTTATCCTAAGCCTGGAGCCTAGACCTGTGTGACTAGAAAAACAAATGAGAGACAAAGCAAACTTTCTAGAGAAGCTGATGACATAATAGCTCAACTGCCCCTGTTACTGAAGTTCAAAGGCTGAAGTGTGATATACTCAATGCAACTGTCAAGACCTTTGCCCTGATTCATTACTAATCACCAAGTGAATTGTCTCCTGTTTTGGTCACAATTACCTAGCTTTAAAAACATCCAAACAAAACCAAACCAAACAACAACAACAAAAAAAAAACAAAACACAAAAAAGATCCTCTTAGCTGCTTCCAACCAGAAATATCCTTTTCCTTTAGAAGGCTGTCTTATTCTACAGCAGAATACTTTTCCTTTTATATCTATGATGTGCTCTCTGCTTGCTATTTGATAAGTGTTGTGTTTTGAATTAGTAAAGGATTTTCATGCATATCTTGAAATGAATTTATTACTAAAAGTATTTCACATGTATAGGCTAATTTTAAACCCTCCCCCCAATATGGATGGTGTTAGGTGATAGACCAAATTACTACAAGTGGTTTTAATAGACAGGCCTTCTGTAGATGTTTGAAGAGGTACCTGTAGTTATTGTTATTATTCAACAATAATATTGTTATTATTGTAGTTATTATTATTATTCTCTTTGTGATGTCACCATAGTAGTCTTAACTTGCTCTATTGACTTTTCCAGACTCTCAAGAAGCAAGTTTTCACCAAGTAATTACTGACATAAATACAGTAAATGTTCATACTTTTAACAAAGATTTGTAGATTCATCAGGAGACTAAGTGTTGTGCTGTGTGGGTTTTTTGTTTGGGCGCTTTACTGTTGAATGAATACTTTGGCTGTCAAAGTCTGTTTAGTTTTTCCTGCACTGAGAGTGGTGAATACCAAGATATGCAACGTGTGTTGGGTGTACAAGTGTTTACTGGAATGACGATATGATTTATTTCTTATTTCATCCTTTTTTTCAATTGCACATAAGGAAAACTGTTGCTTAGGTAGAGTCAGGGTTAGAAATGAGAGTTCCCAGACCTGGTCAGCACTCTCACCATGTGGCTGCCCTGTTTCTTATCCAAGATGTGCCCTTAGTTTGTCTGTTTGATGTTAAGATTAACATGATCTGTTTTGGTTTAATTTCTCCTTGTGTCTGTCACTAACCTCAGTGGCTCTTTCCTTTCCCATTCTGGCTCTCCAGTGAAGTAATAACCACTGGTCTTGCAGCTGGTAGTCCTGTAGTCATGGGATGTTTTGGCACTCTTATGTGGCGTTGTTCATCTCTACATTATTACTCTTGTAACACATTAAATATTTTTCTATTATGAATCTTAAAAACCTGAGTTGTTTGTGCTTTGCTGAGGTTTCAGGGCCCAAGATATGTCAGGCTCTTTTGTGCTAGCTAAGGGAAAAAATGCATTTTATGATCATCTCTGACATGTGCGGTTTGCAGAGTTCCCTGTTCTGTAAAAATACTGTAACTTCTAATTTCTGTTGTTTTTTAGTTCTTTGTTAATTTTCGTACCTTTCTTTGTCTCCCCTTTGTGTTTTGATGATGAAATAAGTAAAAAAAAAAAAGGTGTTTTCTTTATCTGCCATTTCTTCCTTAATCTTAAACTCTAGCATTGTTCTTTCCAAAGTCTTTCTCGTAACATTCAATTTCTTTATTACCCAACCTTAACTACCCTGCTGATGCCAATTACCGGGATTTTTTTTGTCTTTTATTTTCTTGGGATATAACCGTCCCTTTTAATACCTAAAAGTCTTTAGTTTCTCCTTCATCTAAGACTTTGCAGAAATACTTCTTTTCTGCAGTCAAAAAACTGCTTAAAAATGTGTTCTTGAATGTGCTTTGGGAGAGGTATAGATGTCTTCAAGTGAAGAAATTTCCTAGTTTGGTTCAGGATTTTTAAAAGAATCTGATACAGAAAAAAGATGCAAGGAAGCTTGAAATTCAGATTTATAAAATTTACTGATCCTCCAGGACTGCAGGTTGTGAATAGCTGTGTTTGAAGATGACTTGCAAAATTCACTGTTTCAAAGACCTTCTCTACTGCCCTCGTGTCTGCACACAGACAAGTGTTCTCAATGTGTTTAGCTAGAGGCAAAAGCAGAAGTCAGCTTTAAATCACCTCTTTGCAGAGTTGCAAATAAAGGCTTCCATAAAGTACTGCACCAGAACTGATCATTGCGTGAGCGTGGAAGCACTAGTAATCTTAAAGCTCTGCGTACAACCCTAACTCTGCTCTAGCTTACACCTAAGTAAAGGGGATGGACAGTAGACTAGCATGTTACCTGTTAGAGAATAAGCTGTGTCCTTACGACCAAAACATTTTTAGCCATGAGTGTGCCTTGCAGCCTGTATTACAATGAGGTAAACTGGTGTGCCGTCAGCTGCAGCTTGGTTCTGTGGTTCTGCAGCTGTTGTTGCACACGCCATACTTGTGGGTTACTTTGTGTGCCATTGGCATTTTGTGTGTTGAGACATGCCACGAAATAATCAGGACTGGCATGGGATCGGGTTGTTTGACTGAAAAAGTTAAAATACTGAGCCTGAAACGAGGAAAAAACCCTATTTGTTTAAAAAACCTGACTCCAGATTTTGACACGATTGTATGGATGCCTGTGGGTGTTTCCAGCTGGAACATTTTGCTGCCAGGAGTTCAGCCACAGTTCCTTCCTTTGGCAGCAAGGAGAACCTGACTGGACTCTTCGGACATAGTTGAGTAGCTACACCAACACTGTCATAACTAAGGAAAAAAAAAGAGTTTATTTGAATTTTTGAGTAATTGTAAACAGTTCAGTGTTTGTGGTATGCTTTGGGGTTGCTTTCCTCTGTTTGGAGATGACTGAATTTGTGGGACAAAAAGAATTCATGAATAAAGTGTAATGTTTGAGGCAAGTGGTCTATTTTCAATCTTATGCTTAAAAAGGAGTTGGAGATTAAAGTCCCTGGTGAAATATACAAAACTTATTCAGTGAGTCTAAGTAAATGTGGAACATGGAGGAGAGCTGTGCAGTATGAAGGGTGTTGTATTTTTCTGATAAACGGAATAAGGTTTGCTAAATCTTGTTACTAGATCAAATTATTCTTCTTACTTTCTCCTAAAAAAGTATGGGGTTTTTTATTAACCCTTCCCTTGGATCAATTCCAGTCTTGCATAAAAACAGTCTTTCTCCAGAACGGAAAGTTTACTTTTGTCTAGAATAGCTGTATTTGAATCTGATACTTAAAAAACAAAACAAAACAAACAAAAAAAACCCAACAAAAACCGAAATCAAACCAAACCAAAAAAAAACCCCGAACAAAAAAAAACCAAAAAAGACTAAACCCCCAAAAAGCCAAACAAAGCCAAAAAAAAACCCCACAAAACAAATACCTGCCTTTATTTTCTTAGGGGGAGAAATTCAGTAATTACTTTGTTAATTGAGCATGTCCTGGATGATAATTCTCTGCACGCATGTCATTTAGAACAGGATAGGCAGATTGTTTAATACTAAAAATGTAAAACCGACTGCAATGCAGCTGGTTTAAGTTCAGGTGACTGACACATTCTGCAGATGGAGCGCCAGGAAACAAAATGTGATGCAAATATTGACCCCGCTAACAGCATGCTGAATGATGACATTATAATTCTATCAGATGCACTCTCTGTCGTGAGCATCATTTTGATTTCATTTTAGCTTGACATTTAACTTTGTCTCTTTTTTAAAAAATAAAATCAGAATAAACATGAAAGCATCTGATTTGTTAAAATGTGTCTTTCTAATCTCTGCATGAAAACATTTGCTCTGGCAGTCAAGGTACTAGATGCTATAATGTTTCACATGCAATCTTTATTATTAGCTTTGTTGTTCAATGATATGTCAGGCCTGGTATGTCACAGGAGCAGTAAGGCTGAGGAATATAAATTGGTACTATGTCCCGGAGTCATTTTAAACCATTGTATTTAACATATGTGACATGTCTGAGTTAGCTAGTGATTGAATTAAAGTTCATGATTGACACAGAATGCTCTGTTGTGACAGTGCTCAGGGCCTGCTACATACAGCAACATGTGTAGTCATACAGGAATGTCAACTTCTAGCAGCTTTTTTTTATTTTTGCACTTTGAAGTGTTTTGGAAGGGCAAATGAAATCTAAAAACGTGTGGTTTTTATTTGTAGCGGCTTCTAACTGTTGTTCTGTTTCTAAAATCCCTTGACCAGTGAGTTTTCTCAAATACTGTAAGGATTGCTTCAGGTAAACACTCATCATCTTCGCAGAGAGGTTAGACTAGTAGATACTCAGCAGCATCCTGCAGGATCCGCCACTCGTATCGTGATCCTAGTTCTACATGTAGAGTCGGAGGCTTCCATTTAAAATAGAACTCTGTGTAGGGATAGCACGTGTACAACCAGATTTAGCTTTAGATCATGAATACGCAGTTGTGTACACAAGGCTGCCAGAAATATGTCCATACACTTTAAGGCTGGAGCGTTAGTGTTAACGTAAGGAGTGTATCTAAGTATTTTTAGCTATTTATGAACTAGGTGTGAATAACTCAAAAATTCATCCTCTTTCAAATTGGACTGACTACCTTTATGTCTCAAATTCTGATTCACAATTAATTTTAAATTTGGGTTGATCTTGGGAAGCAAACTGAAGCCTGAAGCTTAGAACTAACTTTTTCCCTTTCTCATCTCTAGTTCTTATTGGAATCACTTTTGAATTAATTTCTTGAGTTTTAATTTGGGTTATTAAACAAGATTATTCTACCAACTAAATTAATGCTGATTTGTATTATAAGTGTGTTTAAAATAACCGAATCTTGAGATTGCAGACTCCAGGAAAAATGTATCATTTGTTATGCCACAGCATGATTTAATCTGTGTTTAAATTGTGGATGTTATCTGTACATGCTAGTACTTTGTGAACTGATTTACTGTACCACCATCATGATTTGGTACAGAATGTCAAGCAAGCGCGTACACAAATTTTGATAAGTTTATCTTTTGGATATTTTGTGTGTCATCTGTCTCTGCCATTTATGTTTGCACTCAGATTCTGGCCATTAACCGAGGGGAAAATCTGAAGATCCTGACAGTGAAGGTCAACATTCCTGACGGGGTGAAGAATGAATTCTGTTGGTGGTGTGTCAATGAAAGGTCTGCATGGATACATATTCTTACAGAAACCTTTTTTTTTCTATAGACATCTGCATACTGAAATGTACCTCACATGTCTTGTTACATTAAGAGAACAATTTAAATGAATACTTATTAGATCAGATGAAATTAGCAAATGAATAATTCTTACTCTATACTTCCAACTGCTGTAGCATTATGCTGAAAAGATTATGCCTTTGGCCGTATTTGGGCAGTTCTGGCACCATTCTGAAAGCAATTGAATTTTTAAAATTTTTGAGTGATTCTTTTATTTCTTACTGATTCGCTCTTACAAGTTGCTTTTTTTAAGCCTGTAGTGAGATGTTTAGTGTTGTATGATTTCAAGGTTTTTTAAAAAAGTTTAGGTTTTTCCTTTATGTTGTTTTATGCAATATCTCTGTCAGTCTTTTTCTTGGAAACTGTGCTTTGATGTCCTCTGTTAGATAATATTGTGATCCAAGCTGCATCTTTCTTCCACGTATAAAATACAGGTTTCTCTTTCTCAATAGCTTGAGATATTGGGCATTGTTCTGAGGATGTCTTAGATTTTGCATCATAAAATTGAATCACCAAGAGGAGAAAATACATGAAAAGATGCACTTTTTTAATGTATAAAATTGCTTACTGTGATACTGCTTTAGCATGTATTTTTCTTTTACACCAAGTCCAAGAAAGGGATGTGGTAAAAATGTTCCTTTCCACTGTAGGAATTTAATAGGTCCAACATGGAAACCTCTGAAAGACTTAAAATATTGTTTGGCCAGATAACATAATATGATCTGGGACTTACAGTAAATATCTTTTTTTTTTTTTTTTTTCAGGAAGGTATCAGTATTTATAAACACATCTAATTTTATTGTAGTTTTAATATCTGTGACAGAATTTCTGTCCTTCCCGCAAGAAGTATATTCTGTAGGCAGAACGTATCTGTCAGTCTTGCTTTTACTGTGTCTATGACAGACTTTGGAAGCACTGTGAGCCACAGATAATGGAACAGCTTGTCACTGCTACACAAATGAAAGTGGGATGTAAATTGAGATATTTTTGGTGGATTACATTTTTGTGAGTCATCTTGAGACAAAAAGAATATTGACCTTGGAAACGGAACTACTTATTAGTACTTAGCATTCATAATGGCTTTTTACTATTTAAGGACAACTCCACCATCAGAAAACTTCCGAAGGAATGATTTTAGTAGATCTTGGTGCATTAACATCTAGGACAGATTCTGATCTTCCCCATTAGATTGGCAACTGTGTTATCAAATTGACAAATAGTAAATGTGCATTCTGCCCTCCAGTCCTGGAAATGACTGTCCAAGGGTGGAAGCTGCATTATTTTCATTGCATTGATTTACTGGTGAGAGCAGAAGGTTAAGAACTGCTGTTTGAGGCAAGGATTTCAAAACTTTGTAAAGGTATTAACTAATTTACTGAAGGTCATGCACAAAACCAGTTGCAGAACCAGAAAAGCCATGTTGCTACAGAGTTTGGCCAATATTCTAGCCACAAAACAGTATCACCTACTGCCTGTGAATTATTACCAAATATACTGACCTTTATGTATTCTTCTGAGGCAAATTTTTTTGGCGTTAAATGCCCCTGCAATGGAAAGTGGTTTGGGAAGGCTGGAGTTCTTCGTTATTGCTTCATTAGAGCGTGGAGATCTTTAAGATGACTATTTTCTTTGCAAGTTCACAGTATTTATTAGCCTGTGGAAGCATCTGTATTTCCTTGAAACTCAGATTCGTGCTGAAAACTCAGGAATATGCTTATGCCTGACCTTATGAGTTGTATTTTTCCCCAGAAGATGGTATCTCTGTGGTTTGGCAGTGAGCTTAGCTCCGTTGACACTAGAACTGCACTGGCCCCAGAGACTTAGTTGTGAAGTGAGACATGGAAAAAGGATCAATGAGAAACAGCTGGAGAGGGGCTGCTTAGCTAGTTTTGAGTGTAAAGACAATATGGAGTTGTTCCTTGGGAAAGGACAAGACTTTGTTCCAAAGTGAGGTTGCAGCCTTGAAAATGAAGTTTGATGTTTGACAATGTATTTTCAGTTTTCAGACAAAATTCTCTGATCCTCTGTAAAGTCTATGATACAGGCATGCTTTGTGTGTGGTTACCAACTTGGTACAAGTTACATATAATGTCTTGGAGGAAAACAAAGCTCTGCTTTTTGTGCTGCAGGTCTAAAGGCCTAGCTGTGCTCCTGCTGGAACAGTTGTTAATTAGTACTAATGGTTCTTGACTTGGGCTGTGTTAATTCTGTTGGTACGTATTTCCAGCCTCTGAGGTGTATCAGTAGTCTAAACCTAAGCTTAAAGCTTATGGTGTTCCCTGTTGTGAGCACTTGCATGTGAAGAGCTCATGAGCAGAGTAAGATGATGTTATTTACAGGGAGTTTTTCTAAATAAGGCTTCATTTAAAGGGCTTCGAAACTCAGCTCTTGATTATTTAATCATGAAAAACATGCTCTTAGAAGAAAGCTTAACTAGGATTCGATGATCATCTTATACACATGCTTTACAATTGTACGCACATGCTTTTGCTTTGTGTTCTGCAGCGAAGCAGATTTTTCTCTTTCCTCTTGAAGTATTGGAATGATTAAAATGCAGTATTTGCTATGATTGAACTTAATGTTTGGATATTTTTGCATTTGTAGCAATTCTAAGGTTTCTAATAGAATGTTGCCTGAATAATTTTTACTTGCATATAGGCAGGTAAGAAAAATATCTGCTCTGATAAACTATTTACAGAGAAAAGGTTTGCTAACTAGCTTTAATGGATGGAAGAGAGGGGGAAATAGCTGCCATGTTTCCAAATTCATTCTTATTTGTGCTGAGGATACTTTCTGGGGGAGTGTAGTCATACTTGCCACCTGTAAAAACTTCATGTTTATAGAATTGGATGGCAATAAGGAGGTTTAAAGCCTCTGCTGGTTTTATATAGGTATGGAAAGAGTCTCTAGTTACAAATAAGTATAATAGAACTATTGGCAAAAACTGTTAGCAAAGTGATGAGGTCATGTGGCTAAGCACTCACAACTCTAGATGTTGTAAAACTAAATGGTAAGCTTAATTCTGGTCCCATGTCTGTCTGCGTTAACACAGTGTTGACTTGATCACACATGTCTTAACGATTATATGCACAGACACTTAGAAAAACTGTTTCAGAAAGTTGTAGATCCCCTTAAACAACTGAAAAGCCGTCTGGGTAGGAGTAATTTATTATTCTCAGTATTTCTGAGTGAGTGCAAGTAAACAAAGTCAAAAGTAAAATTCAGTCCTGTTTTTGCCTTGACCTGTACCTGGACACATTATCAAATGGTCATAATTCTATCATGTTGTATTTAAAAAAACTCCAACTAACCAAACAGAAAACTTCCAAAACTTACCCAGGCATATTAAAAAAAAAAAAAAGCAACTATGTATCTCACTTTGCAGTTAGGGATGCAGGCATGTAAAAAAAATACACTAAATGAAGAAAACTCTAAATGTTATCAATATTTTTAAAAGAAATAAAAAATTGTTGGACTGTAATAGAAAGCGTTCGTAGTCTTTACTCCTCCTTGAGTATGATGTATCTGGCTGCATCTCCTCACTCTTTCTCCCTTCTCATTGGGCGGACAATGTCAGTGCTTGTGCTTGTTCAAGGACATCTCCCTTCTCCATAGTAATGTTGCCCAAAGCTAAAAGATCGATGGAATAAATACCTGGGATCTCTGTTCTGGGGAGCTTTGAGGTGTATTTTAGGACAAAATTTGAAGTAATTGTCATTACAGCTGTGATCGCTGTGCAGAGTCCCCTTAGAAAAGGGAATGCTCCAAAGAGTTTGGCTTAGAAAATGTTGGGAAATAGTCTTGTGTTTGTTTGGTGCTATTTTGTTTTCCCTTTTGTTAGAATAATATTTACACTTTCAATATATCAGCGATAGGGAAAAGAGAAGAATCATTTGCAAATTATTTGGCTTTTTGTTGCTTTTTTTTAAGGACTGCTGTGAAATTGATAGATTACATGTTGAGTTTGAACAGAGATATCCAAAGCATTCAAAATGAAATTTGAATTGGGTTTCATTAATTGACACTAGTTTAGTGCTTGAATTTCTGTCTGGACAGATTTCTCTTACATCAGTAGCTCTGCAGTGACACTTACAGAGGATGTTTAGTCATTTTTTTATATATTGAGGAATAGCAAATAATGCAACCTTAATGGTAGTATGGAGCCAAGTTCTTCATTCAGTTGTGGTAAGCTTTGACTTCTCCAAGTGAAGAGTAACATTATTTTTATGTTTTCTTTAAAACATAAAATAGTATTGCATTCTATTACCTAACAAAGAGAAAAGATAGGCTTGTCCCTTGTCTGCTAGTAGAACCACGAGTAACTTCTTCTTCCATTCATATTTGAAACTATGATTTCATTGCCTAATTATTGTAGTAATTCTGCAGTTTATAGGACATTACACTCGTGGAAGTCTTTTTTTTGAAAATTCCCTTTTTATCTGAGTTTTTCCATATGTTCTTACAATATTTTTTGATTTTTTCTTTTTCTCTTCTTTTGCAGATGGAGACCAAAACAGTTTTTAAAACCAGAGTTAATGAGGATACTACGGAGTTCGGTAGAGGATGCGTATAAACGCCTTATATATCCTTTACTCTGTAGAGAATTCAGGTAAGCCCAGAATGAATGTGTGTTTTCATACTACCAATTTCTTAACTATTCCCTCTCTAACTTTTTATTAGAGTATCTTTTATCCATTTGAAAAATTCAGCATGTTTTTAGTCCTCTGTGCTTACCGAAGGAATGAACTATGTAGTCTTGGTTCTGTAGATTTAATTTGTGACCCTGTCCAGTTTAGACTACAGTAGGGAAATGATCTTTGTGACGACCTTTCACATGTTTACATATTTGCTCCTTGTACATATATTTAAAAAAGTATAGTTTAGATTTACATTACAATAATAGTTGCATCTTTATCCTTGTATTAGCATAAACCGTTGTCCCCGAATTTTCCCAGCATCTCTTCATGTCACAGCGATAGTGCTGTCAGTGTTCTGACTCCTTTTTTTACCTGTCTGAAAGAAACCAGCAAAAGTAATTGATGTGGTTGGAAGTGTCCCTAATGTTTTTCATCTGCAGTTTGTGGTGGATGAGTTAGCCATAGTGTTAGCCTGGTACCATTTTGTGGATATTGTGATGGCTCTAGACAAGTCACTAAACTTCTTTCTGGTGATACTGTAGGTAATGATGTTATTAGACAAAGTGTCACTTGTAAGATCTGTAATCTTGTTCTATATTTTAAAGGAAATTTAAAACTTAGTATCAAAGTAACATGAATTAAATAGGGTATTTTTATGGTGTAGTATAGAGTTTACCACATAACTGAAACAATTTAGTATGTCTAAAAAGCCTGCGTTCTATAAACATTGTCTTCTAATGGCTAACAGTACTGATGGTGTTGTTATTCTCTTGAATACAAGAGGAGCTTCCCAAAGCATAACATGTTTGATTCTAGCAAGGCTTTCTGATATGTGACTGAAATTTTAATACCTGTTTTGAGGTAGTTCAAATGTACCTGCCTGGCTGTGCTTTTATGTTTCTGTTCAAATTCGAGTTGTTTTCCTGACACCACTTTAACTGAGCATCATTGGCTGGATGTTGATGTTCTATGTTCTTCCTCTCTGAAAAGACCTGTCAACTAAATTTGGCTTTTGGGTTTCTCCACTACAGTATGTTGTGTTTGCATGTTACTTTGCAAAGAAGATTACTTCACATCTTTTGATTTGAATTTTCAAGATTTTTGAAAGTGCTGAGGTCACTTGTTTCTTTGTGACCACCGTACATGTAGCTGTTTTAGGGGAGGCACTGTGTCTATTGTTTGGCTGAAATGATGAACATCTCATGATGGCGAGTCCAGCTGTTGGCTTCTGTCACATGAGTGTGAAAGTAGTTGTCATTCCTAGCCTTCTCTACAATTGAACTGTTTTAGTGGGGTTTGGTTTTATCATAAATAAGCAAACTGACATAAGGGTTCTTCAAGGCTCTTTTACTGTGTTTTGCTTCGTGGTTCGTACCACAGGACTGTTGTGGCCTCTGTGTTGTGTATAACACTGAGGGCTGCTGCAGTGGTAGGTTGCTGAAGGTTTTCTACGCTCTTAAACAAACAAAAAGCTTCCTTCCCTACTACTTCCTACATGTAGCTCACAAGTCATAAATGCAAAGAATACAAAGCTTGCTGCCTGTTATATCTTTCTTTCTGTGATAATTTTGCATGATTGGCAGTGTCTGGTTAGGAAAAGCTGAAACACCTCCTATAGAGAGGAATGCAAAACACCTGCCAGTAATATTGCTGGTCCATGACCACTTAACCCTTATCATTCTTTTATTCTCTTTCTGCCCACATCAGAAGCTGATTTTTAGGACTCTTGCAAAGGACTGCTAAAGTATTCAATACCTCTTTTTAGCATTAATATTTCCAACCCACCCCCCACTGTTCTTTTTTTCTTTTCTTTTTATTATCATTAAATGTTGGAACAGAAAGTTTCCAAGCATTTGTTGAAATTTTTGGTGCTTCTAGTGGTCAGAAAAATGAAACTTGCCAGCAAGACGATTACATTATTTATTGTTTAATTTCCTTTCTTCCACTCTGTCAGATACCATAATTTCTTGTATCTGGTATAATAATGTCCAGTGTTGCTTTTGGCTCTTTGAAATACATTTTATTTTGATGCAGTACTGCATGGAATGATTCCATCAGGATTTGATGCAAGTGATGTGGCACAGACATATTTTATAATGGATAATCCTTTCCTAATTTTCCATGCTTTCTTGAATTGAGTGCTTTCTCTCCTCTGTCTTCAGGGACGCAAACATTTCTCTGTATATCTTGTTTCACACCTGAAGCTAGTTTGCAGATATTTTTCCACGGGAAGGATTGCCTCTCAGACTGTATATGGAAGTGGGGAGTTTTAAATCTCAATTTAAATACTGATTCTTATAACATTGAATATAGAAGCTAGTATGTCATGATTAGGTTATTTGCTTTTATTACAATATACCTGTTAGTGATATACAGTCTGACTGCTTCATAGAGTTCAAGGGAGGGGCTTGAAATTCTGACTTGGTTGGGTTTGGAGAGGAGGACTGCTCTCCACCTCTGCCTTACATCTCATGCCATATAATGAGAATTGTCACAAATTGGAAAACCATGAGGCTGGGCATCTTGCCATTTGGATGAAGCCAGTAGTGCACTGAAAAAGAGAATGATATTAGATTGTTTGAGGTAGTTTGGTATCTGTTCAAGAATTAAATGACTATCCCAAACTTGAAATTAAGGGCCAGTACTTGGGACAGTAGATCATGTCATTGATACAAGCGTTGAGTGAGAGACAGTTAGAGAGAAAAGAGAGGTCTATATTTGAAATTTAAAAACACAGGATATTATGTAATAGAAAGGACATACATTATGTTTCCCTACGCACCTGGCACTTTCAGTAACATTTCCTGTTACTATGAAAGTTTCTGTATATCCATGCCAATTTTAAACATGATTTCCATAAGGTGCACATAACTAATAGCATGTGTTTAGGGGCAATTTTAATTTCTGCACAAGTCGGAGTTGGAGGCTACGGTTAAGATTATGGGACAGGTATACTAGGGCTGCTCTATGAGCTCCCTAGGCAGCTGCTTATAGACACACCTGGAGAAAGGATACTGGGTTAGAGCAACCACTTACCTGAACTAGTGCAGCCGTTCCCATATTCTTGGTTTTAGTGGTGGCAATATACAGATTGTCTGCTCTTTGGTGCTGAGGGTACATCTGAATTGCTAAGGAGTCTCAAAATGCATGTATACCCTTCACTGTCTCACTTTAAATCATGTCTGTGCTAATTTGGCATACTTGATACAAAACCAAAAAGCACGGAGATATAAGGGAGCCTTTTGCTATTGTACGCTGCCTTAGAAAATGTTCAGTCAACAGTGCGCAGACCTGTCTCTAGACTGCTTTACAAATGAGAGATGATGAGAACTTACCAGCTCTTTCTGTAGCATTGTGGGATGAGAGAGGGCTGAGCTGGTTATTTGGTGGGATCTTGGGCAAACTCAAGTCAGACTCTTAAGTTCTTCCACCTCTGAAAACTGCTCAGAACAGCTTCATATCCTGTCATGTCAAATAGCCCTTATGAGGGTTGTGTTTGAACTATTTGTAACCTGCTTGTGTCATGCATTGGTTGACCTAAACAACTTGAGTAATTTCCCCAGCCCCATTCTTATAGGGTTGGTTAACTGGAATGAAGGATTTTCTTCTTTAAAAATAAACCCAGATATTACTTTTTTCAGTGATGGGTGAAAGGAAGAGGAGAGTAAGGGCACTAGCTACCCTTTGAATTATATGAAGGCTTTACTGGATTTCTATTGCTTGCCTAATTATTGTGTTTACTGGCAATGTAATGCAGTTGAAAATGGTAATAAGTCCCTGCAAAATAAAAAAAAAAAAGGCGGCTAGGTGGTGAATATTTGTCCCCATTACTTTTTGGTTTTGCATTTTAACGTAACATGCCATACCATGATAAAAATACTTGTCCTTATCAGTCATTGTCTTATTGGCCACATCTGACAAATAAGACATCATGCATCTTGTACACCTTCACTCAACAAGACTGGTTTGTTTCTCATAACACTCTGCAGTAAGTGTTCTTGCTTGAAGTCATCAAAGTCAATCCTTGGTGCGCTAACTCAGTTCTTTCTGTTGAAGAATATGAAAGGAAAGGTAGGGAACATCATGACCCTGTCAGCTTTCTAGTCTGGTTCTGAGGAAGTGAAATGCCCTTCTAGAAAGACCTCAAGTCTGCACACTTCTGTGATGACTGTTAAATAATGTAATTCATAGATGAAATTAAATGCCTCGTGTCATGGTGTGTTAGCAATTAATTGGGTAGGCCCTTCTATTTTCTCTCTGGTATCTCTCAGCCTAAATGACCATCCTTTTTTTTGCTGGGTAGTGTTTTTTCTCCAGAACTGGGAAGTTATGAAGTTAATCCATGCCTTCTTCAAATCTGCCTTTCTTTGCAATTAGATATCAGCTTTGACAAGAAGCTGTTCTTTACTCAAAATTATGAGTTGATGTTTGAATGTTAGTTGGGATGTGTACATTCTATTATACTCTTCATGTTGATTTACTTTCTGAGAACTAGAATGAGACAATCATACAGATCCTTTTTTAAAAAGTGTTAAAAACTTGATTGGAAGTGCAATATTTAATTAAAGGTAATGAAAACATGATTGGAAAGAGCCTTACAACTTTGGAACATTTCAAAAGTGTATTTGAAAGCTAATTGAGGGGAAAATGATTTTTGCTTTCATCCTTCTAAGATCAAAGTTGACATCCGATGCAGAGAAGGAGTCTGTGATGATGTTTGGAAGAAATCTCCGGCAGTTGCTTCTGACCAGCCCTGTGAGGGGGCGTACTTTGATGGGAGTAGATCCTGGCTACAAACATGGCTGCAAGTTGGCAATTATTTCACCAACCAGTAAGTTTCAATTCCAAATATTTTTGAAAGGACTGATAAAAATATATTCATTTAGAGGAAAGTATAGAAAAGTACATTTTGAAACTACCAAGTTCATTTTTTTTCTTAAGCTTTCAGTATTTTCCATGCATCCTTTCATGCAAATTCCTTTCTTCAGGCTTAAGGTTAAGTTTCTGGCACTTGGATTCCAGTGTCTCCTTTGGTGTTAATACTCCTCTTTAAAATAGAATTTTAAATCCCTTCTGCCTTCTTGAATACAGGTTCAAATAATTGAGCCTCTCAGTAGTCAGCAAAGAGAACACCTGGCATTTTTATTGTTAAACAAAGAATTTGAATTTAAATGCTTTCTATAGCTTTGCTTTTTTTCATGGATAATATCTTGGACATCTGGGCACTTTATCAGCCCTTTTTGTTTAGTAGTATGTATGTTAATGTGAGAAGTCAGAAACATTGTATTTGCAGAACTTTTAAGATCAGTTTTTAGACAGATACAGAACAGAGCCTTTCCAGTTCGTTCTAGTCTGATCTGGGGATACATACCTCTTTAGGGCCATGTGAAAATGGTTTCTTTTCCTTTTATTTGGTCATTGCTTTTTGTCTGAGAATATATCCACCCAGAGTGAGTATAAGGAAAGATGTGTTCTTGACACGTGTTAAAATGACAATATAGGTAAGATAAATGGTTACTATCTTATACTGCACCATAGGCTATCAGTACCTGTTAATAGAAAGTTATTTCCCAATGTGATAGATGGGATGATGGCAAGAGCTGACTATGGAGTTCTAGAGCTCCTGGACTGCAAGTCCTGAGACTGCATTGCTAATTTTCATCTCTACCGCATCTGTAAAATGTACTAGACTAGAGCAATGAATCTTTTGCAGTCAATTGGTGTTTTTCTCTTTAATAATATAATACACTTTATTTGCCTAATATGACTAGATGCCTGTTATTTGTTATGTAGATATGTCTCCAGGAAACTAGAAAATGTATCAACTCATTTTTGCTTTGGCAGCCAAAGCATTTTAGTCCTCTGCTCACCTAGCAGGATTCAAAAATAAAAGAGCTAGATGGATTCAAAAATTCTAGCTGGATTCAAAAATAAAAGAGAAAGATGGCTTAGTAAGAAGCTTTATTTGTGAATCATCAAATTAACTTTAGTAGTTCCATGGGATATAGCTTTTGAATCTTCGTGGTTTTTATCAAATGACTTTGCCTGTCATTACTCTAGGTCAGATCCTCCATACGGATGTCGTTTACTTGCATTCTGGTCAAGGATTTCGTGAAGCTGAGAAGATAAAGAGGCTTCTGCTGCAGTACAAGTATGCTAAAGAAACTTCCATTTATTATTCTTTCTTACCAAACATAATGAAAATCTTCACTACATAAATAGTTGCTTTGGGTAGCATAAGAATTCTAATGATTTAACTGGAATTCTTTTTTTTCTGTAGTTCAGAGCTTATTTTTCTTTTAGTCTATGTTCTTGCTTTTACATTATGTATATGTTAGAAGCATATGAAATCAAGCCATGGCTATGACTAAGGCTGCATGCTATGGATGTATCCCCATAAAGCTCTGACAATCCATTTATTTTTAGGAATAGAAATTAATATTCAGCTAAGGAATAAGTTTAGCCTTGCTCTCCCTACCCCTCCATAACCCCCAAAACACTCACTGATCTTTCACTGTTCCAAAAGCCACATTTAGTCTTTGGAGTTTTATTAAGCGAAGGAAATCCTGCTCAGATAGGTCTCCAGATGGACTTGCAAATAGGGGCAGCATGATTAAAGGGTTATTGTATCCAACTGTTTTGGGATCCCCTGTGGACAGACATCTGGTCCACGGAGTCAGCTGCTGAACTGCCACAGCATACAGTCCAGTTTGTCTTTAAGCATTAGATTGGCTTTAAACAAGGTGATTTGATGGCTGACTGGCTGTGGTGGGGGCAGTCAGAGGCAATGACCTTGCAAGCTGTTGCAAACTATGATGTTCCTATTAAGGAATTGAGGTTCTGATTGCTTGGGCTTCTGCCCTTTTTCATGACTCATAACAGATGAGGGAAATATGAGGTGAAAGGGTTTGAGGACTGTAAATAACATTACATTTCTTTCATGAGTATGAAGTATCGTTTTTGTTTTTTTCTGCAGCTATTACCACTGTTCAATTCCATTAAAAATGAGTGAAAATTTTGACTCTTGAACTTCAACATTGAAAACGTGTTAAACACAACATGCTATTACTAGGAATATGTTCTCATTAAATCTGGGCCTTATGTAATATAAAATAAGATGTAGTGGTCATTGTTGTGCATTGAATGCTAGATATGAAAAAGTCTAAATGAATAAGTAAGAGTAATTGTTTATCTTTTTACCCCGTGCGAAGCTGTAGCACTGTTGTGATTGGCAATGGCACGGCCTGCAGAGAAACAGAAGCTTACTTTGCTGACTTAATTATGAAGAAATATTTTGCACCACTGGATGTCGTTTACTGGTAAGATAGTTTTGCTTGCTGCGCTACTTGTCTGTTCGGCATATTTTAAATTAACAGGTAGTTTTAAATGTAATTTTTTTGGAAATGTTTCTTTTTATTAGCTTGTCTTTCTTTTTGGAGTCAAACTTGACCCATCTTTCTAGTCAAAGGAAAATGGCTGTAGCTCTTTGCAGCATGAAAGTAGTTCTTCTGAGTCAGTAAGAGAGACACACTGAAGCATTTTATTTTCTCTTTCTGAGGTTCACTTGGTTGCTGTTATCATTGTGATAAAGTATGTGAGAATAGCAGCTCAAACAGCCAAGGACCTGTGTTTGGCATTGTGTGTTTGTTTCTTGATAAATGAGATTTAAATGCAAATGATAAAGCTTGTGTTGTCTGACTATGGTATAGAATGCTTGCTAATCCTATGGGTATTAAATGGTCTGGAAATAAATATTTTTGTTAATACCTGGCAGAAAGTAGTTAAGATATTTATCCTCTTTAAACATCAGATTTTATCCATTACTTTGTTGAATTCAAACTAAACTATTCTGCTGTTGTTTTGGATGAAAACTGTACTATATCACTTTATTTTCTCCCAGGGTCTTTTTTTTTTTTAATTCACACCTTTATTTTTTAAAAGCATTTTTAGTGATTTACCTTGGAGTATCTTTTGTGCTGAAGTTTACCAGCAGTGTTTACTTTGCACTGTCTCAACATACTGAAATAAGTTATCTAAATATTTGAAAAAGTTGTGACCTTTATTCAAATTACTATATACATGTAATGGAGTCTCCATAGAATAGGAAGTTATCTTACAGAAGTGTTCAACGAATGTATTATTCCTGCTAACTTGTGCTGTCATTTAATTGCACTTGTTCTTTGTTTCTAAGATTTCTAAGAAAATTTGCAGCAAGATCTGATACTTAAATGTCCTTTTTATTTCAGGAGACATAGTAGTGGTTTTCTGATTTTAATTGTTTGCAAAGGAAGGAGACTGTTTAAGCTTCTGAAAAATTAACATCCACTTTCCTGAATCCAACTCAAAAGCAATGGATTTTTAATGATTGTATAGAGTGGAAAACACTTCATACTGTGTGGTTTCTGGCAAATGTTTAATTTTTTGTTGTTCACTTCATATAGTTTAAAAATCCATTATGTTGACAGAAGCACTTTGTCTGAAAGAGTAATAGTGATTTTATTTATTCATTGATCATATGCTACAAAATAGCTTACACAGAAAAAATTATATATGTAATAATGTGGTGGATGGTTTTCTCACTGTGTTTTCTTCTTTTGCTTTAATATTTTTCTCCTCATTTATAATTCAAGATTATAGAATTTGCAAAATAATTATCAGTATTGATTTTTTGGGGGAGGGAGCCAGTAGAACTACCATGTTCTTGGAACTGATAAAAGCTCTTGTGAAATAGGAATTATTATAAATGCTCTAAGGCAGGTTTCTTTTTCTAGTAGTGACAGGCAATTTTTTAACCTTTCACTTTTTCCAAAACTTGTTGTGATATTTGTAGGAAAAATATAAATGCAGTTATTTAACGTGCAAGATTATGCTAATTGCATAATCAAACCCATTTTTGCCTTTGGTATGTATTTATGGTGCTAATGGCTTTCTTGCGCTATGCTCGTACATGGTGAAGAGCTAGTCCCTATTTCAGAATTCATATGCAGAACACAGAATACTGCATATTAAGATAAAAATCAGAATAATGTAGGGTTGTTTTTGTAGCACATGCTACAGGTGACATTTGTTGCTGTTGAATTTTGTAGACTGTGTGTGCATTTATCTATGTGGGTTTACAAATAAGCCGGACTCGCAGTCCGTATGTGTCTCTTCACATTTTGACAGTCTTCACTGAGTTTCTTTCTCGAAGATCGGGGTTCCCATGTTGCCCTTTCTGCTAAACTAGTTTTATGTGCACCTGGTTGCGCTATCGAGTGCTGGGGTTTCCCAGCCATGCCATTGAATCCTGCAAGATAGCAACTGTGTTTGCCTTCTATCTCCAGAAGACTTTCTCCTTAATATACGTGGTATTTCTTAGTAACAGAAAGGAATGATGAGTCCAGACATTCACCTCCCTTACTTCTGATAATGTGATGAAATGCCTGGAATTTATGCCAGTCTGAGTTCAAAAATGTAAGTGATAATTCTTAAATGAGAGACAATTAGTACGGAATCATTATTTTAGCAATGGGTGACGGTAGGCATACGTTGTGAGAACTGCTATACCTCTTGAGACGAGCTATGAAAGATGACTTGGAAGAACGTGCTCTGCTGATCCTCTTTTCTTGAAATAAAAAAAAAAATCCCCCAGAACATGTCCCCTCAGATCACAAAAGAAATTGCTGTTTCTATGTACAAAGTCTGTCCTTGATTATGTTGTTTTCTCATGGTAGGAGAAAATACGAGGGCTTTGTTTATATATAAGCTGAATACAGATCTCTAATCAATTCTGTAGAAACCCATGGTATGCTTTCAGATCAAGCGATCTTTATAAATTATTTTTCAATTAAAATCTCAAAGAAACAATATAAGTAATGTTGGAACAGTTGGGTTTTAAAGATTGCAGTTTTAACTAAAAAATGGATTTACAAATCAACTTAGTGTTTGAACTGTGGGGAAAAAAAAATCAAAACAAAACAAAAAATGAACAAAAACAAAACCCCAGAACAAACCAAAAACTCTCCAGTACTTCAACAATAACAGAATGAGCCAGTTACATCTAACATGGTACCATTTCCCAAGCATTCAGCTTCTCACAGTTGATGCACTGAGCTGCACGAAGGTGGAAGTCCTTGCCCAGCAAGGCAGAGCTCAGTTCATTGCTGTGTGCAAGTTTCGGGGAATTGCCAATTGTATTTGCTTTTACAATCTTTTTCCTTAAAGGAGTCCAGATGTAAAGTGGCTTGGCAGATGAGGCTGGATTGTTATGTAGTGCTTTAAAACCAAAAATCCTCATTAACTTAAGCTGTCATTCAGGAAGGTGGCTGATAGAGAGGTACTACAGACTTTGACTTCCTTGGCAAATAAAGCTTGTAATATGATACTACTTTTCGTTAGAACTAGAGAATAGGATCAGAATTGATTACAAAAAATAAGAATCTGTTCATAGTTTTAGGTCCCATTGATCATATGGAACTTGGATCATGCATTTTCAGGGAAATGAGACAGTAATAGAGTCTGTAATTTTTGAAAGAAGGTGTGTGCAGTTGAGACATGCACAAATAATCTGAAGAGGTATGAACTCTAAGCAAGGTTAACGATAATAACCAACTGAACATTTAATTCATTGCATGTATGTACAGTGCACATTGAAATAGTCTCTCTACTACTAAGGTCCTGTACAAGGATTTCAGAATTGTACAGGAACTCATTCCTTGGCTTCAGTATCTGACTCCAGCGAGCACTTAACTGTAGGCTTAAATGAGAACACTGTTTCACCTTTTTTTTTCCAGTTGTGTGGTAAGAATCAAATTAACTGATTCTCAGTTTAAAGTGTTTCAGTTGTATCAGTATCAAAAGAGACTTCTGAAATAATTTTCTCAATTTCAGTTTCTCTCAAAAACATTACAATATGTTATCTGATGATTGCATTGTCTTTTTTAGTGCTAATAAATATATGAAAAGCAAGCAATTAAAATAACAAATCCTGAGCAATGGCAAGTACAAACTACATATAGTTTTACTGAAGTTTTCCAAAGAGAAGACAGATCAGTGAAGACAGTAGTAGGAAATGAGGCATATGGTACAATTTTTCATGTGGCTTTAAAACCTGTCTGGACTCAGTTTGACAGTTTTTGATTTAAAGCAAATATTTTTCACTATTTTTGTAACCAACATGCTTTCAGATACCTACATCCAACCTAAATAACTGCAGGACTTTTTTTTTTTTTTTTTAAATGTAGTTTTCCTTTTAGAGCTATGTTTATTGACTTAGATTAGGACTGGACTAGAGCCCAGAGACAGTCATATCTAGTCTTCAGGTTTTTTGTTACAAATCAGTTTTTGTTACAAGGTTCAATAAATATCCTTGATTATTTATGTTAGTTCTATTGTGAGTTCTTGCCAAAGATACATTGTATTATAACCAAAACAGATGTTCTGTTTTAGACAAGTGTATTTGTTTTAACAGGACCAGAAATGTAAATGAAACAACAGTGTGTTCAGCATTAACATGGCCAATGATGAACTTTTAGGATTTCATTGGCCTTTTTGGATTAAATGAAAATCTTGAAAAAATATTTCAGGAACCTCATTCCATATTTCAATCACTGTAACTGTTTTTCTTTGATTGCTGTCACTGGTAGGCATCTTGGAAATGAAAGCGATCTGAATGACAGGTGAACTATGCTAGAGCAGGACAACACTCAGTCATGGTATTTGGAAAAAGTAAAATCACAGTTTTTCTTTCAGCCTCAGTGGTTTCGTTGTCACAATACAAACATTCTTATTGGTCTGACTTTTTCTTATATGCTTGGCACATTAATGCACACTCAGAATAAAGTATTTCAGCTCATACTTAAAAGAAAAATTGATATACATCATGAATTGTTAATTATTTTCAACAAGCAGTAAAGAATGCAGCCAGGCAAGTGTATATTCTTTGCTGTTTTTTAGGTGGCTTGGTGATTGTTTTCTGTTCTAGTTGGTTTTAAATTCGATACAAAATCCTTTTCTGCCACTTTGAGCAAAATCTTTTCTTGCTCTTGAGGCTTTATAAGCAAAGTAATTAATAATTTACTGCTGTTTAAGTTCAAACACTTTTGTACTGTGACAAATACGGGAAAGTCTGTAATGTCTTGTAAAGTTCTCATTGGGTTTTCTTTAATGTTTAAATTGTCTGCTTTAGAATACTTAGAAATGTTCTGCTAAGGTAGAATAGGCCTGTTTAATACCTTTTGAAGTTGGACCTTGGTGGCAAGAAATTGATTTAGAAATGTTTGTTCTACAGGATTTTAGGTCCGCTTGTATTTTATAGGTGTCTGCACATGCTTTAAATATCCTTTTCAATTTAAATGTGTGTTTTATGTTGTTGAATATCTACATTATACTCTCTCAGCTTTAACAAATGCCACTTTCAAGTTCCATGCCTCTACATTTCTAATGTTACACTAGCTTAATTCCCATTACTTTTCTGCTTCATAGCACTCGCAGTTTGAAAAGGACCTAACATTCGGGTTCACATTATGATAATTAGGTTTCAAAGCAGTGTGGGGGGATTAAGATGTCTGAAGTCTAGTTGCCGAATAAAGTTCAGAACTACTTGTAAAACTTGTTTGAGTGGTTAACAGAAGTGGTTTTATTTATTCAGTGCTCATGCAGCATTAATCCGTATTTCATCAGGTACCCACAGTGCTGTAACTCTAGATATGACCTTGGGACTTAATTTACCCCATCTCAGTTTTCCTTATTAATGTGCCATGAAAGAGGTACATGAAAGATAGCCAACATCAAAGCACCTTTTCAAATAAAGTGGTTGATATGAATCCTCTGGTATTTAACACTGTCTGTCAAATGTTTCAGCTGGTTTGCATCCTTTTACAAGCTATTGCTTGCTGCATTAATGCAGTTGTTTCAAGTCTGTTGAGAGTACAAAGTGGGGTAGGGATATGGGAAACTTTATTCCTTTTTGATTATATTTTCTTTAAGCTATTGGGTTTTTTCTGTTAAGCTATATAACTCTATTGATGACACATTTATGTATGCACACCTACACACCTTAGGTCATTAGATGTCTGATACAGAGGGTAGAAAGTAATTTGGAAAGCGTTGGCAAAATGAATACATATTTGGTGGAAACAATGCACATGTCTGAAATGTGAACTGAAGATCCTTTGTTCTGCTTTCATCTCTTCCAAGCTCTAGTGGAGTCATGAGAAGTCCTAAACAATGAAGAAATAATTTGAGAAACAAACAGGTTTAAAATGTGTGTGAAGAGGACATAGTCAATGAAAACATTTTAAATTATGTAGTGATTTCCAGCCAAACTGTCTTCTGTCCCTTACTTAAAAGTTACTTTTTATTGTGATTATTTATCACAGCTGATTAAGAACTCCTGATCATGCACGCTTCAAATGAGAAGTTGTTTTGTTTGTATTTATATTTACAGAAGACAGTCCTGTAAGTTCTGCATAGAAATTTATTCCTCCTGCTACTGGATTATTCATATCTTTAGATAGTAATTATTCTATCGATCGGCACAACATGGACTGTAATAAGTGGTCCACATTTAAGTTAGTATCCAGTGTGTGTTCTTGGTGCATCCACAGACTGCTATCTATGTTGAGCTGAACCCATACTATATTCAAAAGGGAAAATCAGAAGACTTCTTAGATTTTGAGGCAGTCCAAGAAAGCAAAGCTTCTCCTCTGCCCCAGCTCTGCTGCTTATTCTAAAAGTTTAATGTAGACACCAATACTGTCTCTAGCCATGTTTATCTGAGAGGAGGAAAAGAAATAGGTAAGCAGTGAAGATACAGTGGGACAGGTGAAATAGGAGATGACAATTTCTGGCTTGTAGAGCATGAATTTGAAATGTCATAAAACAAACTTTATAAATTATACACTTGACATAATTATGGAATACCATCTTTGAATTCTATTTCAGAGAAGTAACTTCACAGTTTTAAGATGAGAAGAAGGACTAATTGAGAGTATGTGAATGTAGTTAAAGAGACTATGAATTCCTTTAAGTTCAGAAAAAGAGTAAGATATATTGTGGAGCCTACACTTTAGCAATGTGAAGGCAGGGGGTCAGGAAATAAATGTAACTGGTGAAAAAAGCTATATCTTAAGGAAAAAGTCTATTTTTCCAGAACACCATGACATGCTGTTTGAATTGGATCCAGGACCATCCATGGGAAAACAGTCTTTGGTGGAGAGCGTAAAGTTATTCATGCAATTTCCCTTCAATGTTTTCTCTTTCCAAAAGAAAATCATAGCAATGGTAATATCAAGCAATGATTTTAAGTTATATATTCTCAATGTGTAAATCTCTTCAGACCTTTAAAGGATACAAAACAAACAAAACTTTTGTAAAATTAGGGAAGATTTCAGGATGAAAAGCTATTAAGCATGAGACTACGTTCATGGGTGACTTCGCATACTCTTCAGTTAGAAATGTACTGATCTTAGTCAGATACACTCTTACAAATCAGATAATAAATGTGAGAAGTTTATCACAATAATTCTTCTCCCTTCTCCCCCGCCTTTGTTTTTTTAATAGAGAAGTCGTTTGTTGTATTTAGGATTGCAAAATTACTTCTCTGTTTTCAATTTTATTTCATGTTCCCCACTGAGCAGTAATTTGTACACAGGCTGTTTCCTTGTAGATCTTTGTTACTTTCAGATAAATAAAACACATCTTTTTTTAAGATAATCCACTAGAAGACATCTGGTATTGCAGTACAACAGAAGTCAGGTGAGTGAGAAGCATCCAAACGTACTTACAAACACAAAACAAGAACAAGTTGGTAAGATAAAAGGTTATTGACAGACATCAGACAAAGGATATCCAATAAACAAGTGGTACCATTTCTGCATGGCATGTGCCCATCAAGTACCCTGGGAGCAGTTTTGAAATGTATGTATTGCATAAGGTATATTTGTAGAGCAAGACTGGAAGTTTTATTCCTAAAGTTCATTTGAAACAAAATCATATTTTTACCAAATATGTATAACAGTGATTTTAATGTTCAGCATAGAACTAAGAGTATACTGTGAGCAGAAGATTTTATTTTTGGGGTGTATTTGACTCAGTAGTAGAAGTCTTTAAAACACTATTTTTCACTTAACACATTGTGTGCTGGTCGGTGTTTCCAATGCAGTCTCCTTTCTTAAGAGCTTTCTATGATGGCAATGAAAATTACTCTGGCCTAAAGTCTCTTGTTCAAGGCTACTTCCAAAGCTCAGAAATGAAGAATTATGCAATATATTTAAAGAAAAAGGGATGACTAGGTCTTAAATTTGCTAGATTGCTACAGTGAAACAAAATTAGTTC